TTATCGTCGTTCGTATCACATGTTGTGTGGTCTCGCTTACTCGGTATGGGAGAGAGAGAGGAAGCTAAAGTGTCAGTATTCCACGGAGTACCCGCGATGTATTCCCGCCTTGCTGCTGATTATGATACGATGTTTGCGGATGGCAAGATGGCGGATTACGTACGGAGCACGCTTGGTAGTAAAATGAGGTTGATGTGTGCGGGATCCGCGCCATTACCTGATAAACTGTTTAGGAAGTGGGAGGAGGTGAGTTTGTTTATAAGTTGTTATAGTAAAATTTTTCAAATGTTAACATATAATATGTCGATTAGACGCTTTTCATAATCCCCCCAAGTAAAGACCGCAATATAACATAATCCGTGGGTTTCTGATGTCAAAATCGCCATTTAAAACATATTATCTCTTTCTTGTCAAAGATAGGGATGTCGATATTTTTATGCAGCGATTTTAGTCTCAGAAACCAATGATAAAATGGACATCACATATATTAGGCAGTCTTATATACCTAACCTTACTTGGGACGGATGGGGGGATAATTAAAATTGTCTATACTTTACTATGGATTGGCTAATGATTATTTAACGAATGAATTTAAGTAGGTTAATCTTATTTTGTGTTAATCAGATATCAGGTATTCGCTTACTAGAGCGTTACGGTATGTCAGAAGTGGGTATGGCTCTCAGTAACCCGTACAGACCGGTGGAACAGCGGCAGGTGGGCTGTGTGGGTGTGCCTTTACCTGGAGTCACAGCAAGGATAGCAACTGTTGGTGAACTGAAACCATTGGTTACCGTGGAATCGGCAGTACCGGATACACAGGTATGTTACCTTTCTGTTAACTACACTCAGAGTCAATTGATTACTGAGAAACATCCTTAGTGAACTTAGTATGAATGTACACTTAGTATGACACTAATTGGTTATTTCATTAATTATTTTAAAGAAATATAGAAACATATCCTATGTCTTCTTTCAAACTATGAAATCAGATCTAGAAAGATCTATGTCAAATTTCAGCAAGATCCATGGATCCATTCCGGAGATACCTTCTAACAAACCTCCATCCATCTAAACATTCGCATTTATAA